AGATTCTCCTCTCTTCTATCGTCACATCATAAGAAAAGTCACTCAAAAGTGATAATATTCACACTAATTTTTCTATACATTCTCTCATCCTAATTATTTTCCTTGCACTCGCTTCATTGCTCTCGTAATTATTTAATCAGAACCACTAAACTCGAACGAACATCTTGCTAATAATAACGCCACAACAACAAAGACAATTGGACGAACCAAATTTTTGGGATGCGGCAACTCGGATTTCAAATCCTTATAACGTTCCATACCAATCGATTCGGTAATTTCACGCATACGATCAGCACGATAGTCAAAGAATATCACAGTATCGTTTTCTGAATTTACAAAATAACGACGATGACGATATAACTGAATGATCGCACAATAAAAGATATTAATGAAGTAACAATACAAGAGTGACTTAAAACTGACCTTTAATACGTCCTTCATCGTTCAGAATGATTGGCTTCAAAAATTCATCGGTTTCATCTTTTGCATATCTTCCTTTGATCACATCAATCGCTTTGTCTATTGACGCCTTCTCACCGATACCGCCCAGCAACGCATCATACGCTACCTTAACAATTAATTAATTAATCGCATTCGTTCGTATCATCAATCATTACTCTTATCATTTCCCTTTCATAACGATTNCTCATTTACATAAGAGTGGATCTACTCTATCCAAACTCGCTCGTTCGTAAAGTGATATAATATCAAGGAATAACCCCAATAATACCAAAAAGTAACAAGCAGTACTCAATGATATAAAAACAAGAAGTCAAGTCACTCACTCTTATTCTCTCCCATCTCTTATCACGATCCATTGCGTAGTATCGTCCGACAATTGTGGAAATTTCACCGTATTTCTCTTTGTTCACATAATCAATCAGTTGCTGCAGGTAACCAACTGAAAACTTTTGTAAATTCAAATAAATATCATAAACCTTAAACAATACTGACAGGAATAAGGCGAACAATAATTAGACTGATAAGGAGAACCAAGTATTTCAAAATCAGAGAAATAAAACCATAACTAACGAAAAGCAAACCTCCACTAGTGGGACTTGTATCACGACCATCACCGAAGAAATGGATAAACAATTTCGGTACTTTCAACTCCTTGATCGCGGTGATTAACGCGAATAAATGCTCGATATGCGAATGTACACCACCGTCACTGACCTTAAATTGAACTGATTGGAGATAATTTTGAATCCGAATGATCAAAAGGTTAATATATTTGTGAAATTCGCTCCGTAATACTTCTCGAAGCAGACGAGCTTCATTCACCTCAACACTGAGTATTGTGACCGATTTGTTTTCATTAATCTTTTAGGATTTAGCCAATCCATAATATTAAGAGATAAGTTTATTTTAATGAAATGCTCACCAAACCACACAAATGAATACGTCCATTTCCTTTGATCGCACGTTCAGCTGCATCCTTCAATGTCTGGTTTTGAACGAGCGTTTTATTCTTTACGGCCAAATTGATACGAACAATATCCTGGAATTACAATAATTATATCGATAACTAATCTTCAGTTGCGGTGGATTTAAGACATCCAGATTCAGTTGCGTTTTAAATATTTCACGGGATTTCCTGAGGATGTTCTCTGAAATTGCAGATCGCTCGGAAAATTTATCGATCGCACTATGACTTTAATCATCACTCTTGCTTTCATGGTTATTGCTATTATTACTTCGGACGTTGTTATCATTATCTACATCATTACTAGCATATCAGTGGAGGCGAATTGAAAGGAGTTTTGGGTATAGATGCAAGAAATTTGAGGAATTCACCTGATAGACAACGCGACCGGCACCAATATTAAGATGTCCCACTTCAGAATTGCCCATTAAACCTTCGGGAAGACCGACATGCAGACCGTGTGCTTGGATCTGTTGCCAGTTACCCGAGCAGAGCCCATCCATTACAGGCGTTTGTGCATTCTTGATGGCATTCCCTTAAATTATTCAGCTAGTTCATTGAGTTACACATGATAAAATCTTGACAATGCATTAACTACTATTCCGTCTCTCTAATACTAAGCAATGTTTTCGCTTGAGAACAGGAAATTGAAATTTAATCTGAAGAAAACTGCAACTGATACCTTTCGTTTCGGTACTGATACCCCATCCATCGATAACGATGAGGCAAACCTTGTTCTTGATTTTACCGTTATCTGCCATACTTGAAGTTGATGCTTCAGATGCTTCTTCAGAACGAGTTGTTGCTTTTGATGAACGCGTACGAAACCCTCGTGAATAAAGGAGAGCTGAAAATGATCGAATGAGACACTCAGTTGGTAAGATATAAAACTTTTGCGACGCATGAATCGCACTGCAATGCGGATTTTCGCAAATTAAAACGTAACGGAGAAAGCCTCAAGCAAACGATAGCAACACAACAAATATCGCGTTGTACATTACACTTTCAATAGAGTTATTCCAGCTTGATTGGAAATACTTTCAGTTTGAGTTCAACAAGACGTTGCATCGATTGCAGAAACATTCCACACAAAGTGCTCGTGCAATGCACAGCTTATCGTTCGATTCCAGTTGTTTCCTATTGGTTTGCATATGCACACGAACGCCCGCATACATACATCATACACATAAACTGAATCGATAACAACTAGTAAAAAATTTACTAGCTTCACACACGACCACTCATATATACACACACACACATTCTCATTCTCATTTATCGGCAAATCGAAACTTTAAAATAAATTCAAACAGGTGCATTCAACACAAGCAATCACGTGCAAACAGGTGCAGATACAAGTTGTTGCACTTGATTCGATTCGAAGAATATTTCAACAATAAGTATCAATCAAAGGATATCGGCAATATGTTCGTAAAAACTGCTGTTGTAAGAAATTTTTCGGAACATATACATTGCCACTACATAAAAACAGGTTATAAATATTGTATCTCAACTAAAAAACACTCATTCTCAGATAGGTTAGGGTTATGAATCTGAATCTAAACGAAAGAAATTGAGCAACTGCAGATTGCCAGTGAAATGCTCAATCAGATGAACAACACAGGCCGTATGGTGACTCACTCAAACTCTTAACATTGTGAAATGACATTTGATAACTCGGATTTCGAAATCTTCACTGATGACATTGAATGTAAAAGAATATCAGGCAGACAAAACTATAATCAGCGCAATGTTGGGGTACAAAATTCAGATGAACTTCTCAGTAATGGAATGTGAATAAGCAGTGTTGTGGATAGAAACTGTAATAGGAAGAGACAGTGAAAAGAATTTCATAATGATACACGTCACTATTGCAGATTTATGCGAATTCTCAAATTTCATTCGTCAGTGTATGAATTCCACGTCAAACAAGATATGCTCTCTTGTGAAAAGCATTCGCAATCGATAAATTATAATTCAAGGAAGTCACCGATCCATACTTTTTAAATCGCTCAAAATTGATGATTTTAATTAGATACCAACTGAACTGGCTTATGACTGAACGAACGAACTGCTTCGTGATTGAACTTTCAATAGAATCAACTTGTTGTAGGTGATAATTGTCTTTTATTCGTTCCAGCAGTACCAAATGACACGTTTTTTAATCGCTCATATGCAAAATTGGGAAGAGATGAATACAAATAAACGGAAAGTGTTTTGGAGAGAATCACATCCAAACGTTACGACAACTTACAAAAACATTCACCAAAATCATAGAAATTTATAGAGATTATCGCTATTGCCACTAATATTGCTGTCAAAGCAATTATCCCATCCAACACAAGGCGATTATCTGATGCAATATGAGTTAAATGCCCAAACAACTAACGAAAGATTTCGTCAGCCTCCAAACCGCGCATCCGAATCATCAATTTCGAAAGTGCAAATTCGAAAAGTGATCCACTTTCCAACGATGAATCATTATGACTATGATATCCTTCCATTTGTTAAACAATAACGAACGGATGAAGCAAAATTAAGAATGAAGCATGCTTGCTTAAAATAAAGCAGCAAAATAAGCAAAATGAAAGAGGATGCGGTGGGCAAGGAAACTCACTGATTACTAACGCATGCACATTTGTTATCGGGCTCTTAACGAGATCTGCTGGGTGCTGGAGGAATTGAGAGCGAGTCGAAACACTGACATCAGTTGGAGGCAGTCTTGGCTAAATTCTCGATGATCTCCTCCACGAGGACATTTCTGGTTTGCCGATGGAAGTTCTCTGATAGAGGGGAAGACACCAGTCCCCTTTGGTCGCGGGCTTGGTGTTTTTTCTTTTGAAATTAACAATATTCGGGGAATTTCGAATAGGTAACTTGAAAATAAAAGGGATTTAAAATGTCAGCAAATAAAACTGCAAAGCAAATAAAAGCAGGTAGGACGTACATAAAGGTGCGTTTACGACGAATGACTGGTTCAGCTCACCCCGGAATGTAGTCAGCAATAAGGCTGGTGAGCCTTGAAGGTGACGTATGAACAATGGGATTGAGAACAGTCGTAACAGTGGGATCGACGAATACCGCCAACTCATTTGTGTTGCAAGATGTACAAGACGATGATATCGCAGTCGTAAAAATCCTACTTATACACTCTTGATTCCTCTTTCTTGACTGATGCACTGATGAGAGACGATGAATGGAAGATGACGGAAGCTGAGAATTATCAGTCTGAGATTATGGGAGACGACTACAAGGTACGGCAAGATTGTGCCAATAAGAAGGCGGAATCCACAGAGCGAAGCACTTCAGAAGACTGTTTAGCGCATTCTCGATTTGGTGGTTCCAAGATGGCGGTTTTTTTAACGGTTCTATGATTCGATTTTACGAATGCAGCATAAATTTTGCCGTTTGTCAAGAATGTCAAGAAGTTTCACATTCAAGGATCACAAATAAATTACAGATATTATCGTCGAAAG